TTTGGCTTTACTTAGATCCACAAATTCTTGTTTACGCAATAACAGTAATTATAAAAATTCAAGTTAGCTTTTTGGTGCATTCAAGCGTGGTATGTACTATACATATACATATGTACATATGTATGTATATATATAGATATTAAAAAAATATTGATTTTCTGCAGTTAAAACGGTCAGTTTAGTGAAGCTTATCGCTTAGAGCACACGTAAATCGTTCTTACCGCTCTAACTGGTTGGATTATAGAAGCAAAAATTCAAAACCATACTGAAAAGTAGTGTGTGTGTGTGAGTAAAGGAATCAGAAAATGTGAACAAGCAATAATTAAGTGCAATTTGAAAAGTATTTAAAGAAAAACAATAAAAAAAATTAATGCACTTAAAAAAATTAAAATTTAATAAATAAAAAAATTAAATAAACTTTTTGAATAATAAAATTTTAATGCAATAAATGCATACGAACTAAATTTTCAGAAATAAAAAACAAAAAAATCACATTTAAATCATAAAAAAATAATAAAAAATATATACCACACACTCATATAAATGATAAAGCATTAATACAAGAAATGTTTAAAAATATTTATATTTGCAAAAGCTTATAAAAAATAAACTAAATAAAAACGGGCTCGATAACCGAAAACTGAACAATAAAAAATTAACATCTTTATGCAACTAGAAACATGTCCTTGGTGCTAGTTATATTTTTAACCTTTGCGGCATGCTATTTTATACACGCTAAATGGCCGGTTTTTACTGTCGGTAGACGTATACGCGGACCACGGGCCTTACCGTTGGTTGGTAATGTGCAAATGATCAGCAGATTGAAGCCGGAATGTGAGTGTTTTAGAAAATTTTATTTTTAAAAGATAATAATGTTTTCATAGATAATAGTGTTACGGAGAAATGTATTTTAAAAATTAAATCTTTTCAACTTTTAAATAAAGTTCTCTAAACTTACTCGCACAGCTTTATTCAAAAGCGTCGCAGAATTTCGCGCTAAATACTGTGAAACTTATCGTTTATGGCTCGGACCGGAGTTATGGGTTTTTCTGCATAGTCCAACGGAGACGCGTGAAGCTTTGCATGATACGACATTAACGAGACCGGTGACATTTCAACAACTAAGCGTATTAATCGGTAACGGCCTGCTAATAAGTCATGGTAAGTTGCTAAAATTATTTAAATAAAGTGGAAAATAAAAACGAAACTTATTTTTCATTATTTTGCGCCAGGCAAACAATGGGAAACTCATCGACGCGCACTAAGTCCCGCATTTCATGTAAATATACTCAATACTTTCGCACCCGTGATAGCGCAACATGGCGAGGAATTAGTGCGAAAACTGCATGCCACCGAGGGCAGCCCAGTAGAAGTTAGTGATTATCTCTTCGCTTGTGTACTGGATGCGATTATAGGTAGGTGAAAGATATTAATTAATGACCGTAAATATTTTTAGAACGCACCGTTTTGTAATTTTTAGAAACCTCAATGGGCAAACAGCTGAACTCGCTCACGGATCCACATAATCGCTATTTGCATGCCTTTCACAAGTCGGTAATTTGTGAGAGTTTTTAAAATTTTACTCTTGTTAAACAGAAAATGTTTTTGTTAACACCACAGAACCAGTGAACTGCTCTTCAAACGCATGACGAACCCACTATTGGCGCTGGATTTCATATTTCAACGCACAAATATGTATCGCGAGCTGAGCGCATCCATCGCAGTGATATATCAGCTGATGGCTACTGTGATTGATGAGCGTATCGCGGCACTTAAACAACAAGAGTCGTTGGTTTCTATCGCAATTACAGCACCAGCCGAGGAAGGCATACGCAAGCAGCGACGTACATTGCTGGACACGCTGCTAACCACACAAATAGGTGGGGAAGTGTTGACACGCAGCGAAATTTGTGACGAGGTGAATACGTTTGTGTTTGCGGTGAGTAATTTGCACAGAATTACCCAGATACTATTATATAACTGCTTATAATACAGGGTGTTGACACCACCACAGCAGCGATGTGTTTTGTGCTCTACAGTCTAGGTAAATATCCGGCGGAACAGCATAAATTGTTGACAGAAATTGAAGAACAGCTCTCCGTTGGTGCTGAACTCACTTCCGAAGCACTCAATCGTTTGATATATTTGGATCTTTTCATCAAAGAGGTCTTACGTTACTATACTGTAGTGCCGATCACGGGACGCCAGACTACTAGCGATACGGTAATCGGGGGGCGGCGGTACTGTGCTGGTATAACCCTTTGGATTGATTTGTATGGACTTGCACATGATGCGCAATACTTCGATAAGCCGGATGAATTTCTACCGTTACGTTTCACGCAAACACAGAAGGAGCACTTGCCGCCATATGTTTATATGCCATTCTCGGGTGGACCACACATTTGTATAGGTCGTAATTATGCCTTATTAATTATGAAAATGTTCACGGTGCAGATTTTGCGCAATTTTGTGGTGAAATTGCGCGATCAACATGAAGAGTTGGTGTTGCAGTCGCAAATGGTGCTGAAGTCCCTGCATGGTTTCAATTTGATGTTCAGTCAAAGAGTATAAATTACGTAGAAGACGAGGTTAAGGTTTGAATATTTTTATTATTTAATTAAGAGTCCGAATAAAGTGCATGTCAGCAAAACTATAAGTTACTGTTTGAATAAAGTACATTTAGCGGTCATAAATACAGTTTACTTCTTTTAACCTACATTTTTGTTGTTGCTAGGCCAGCTTCTGATTTTTTTTTGGGTTTCGGATGTACATTCGGTTGTTTCCGGTTGCATAGATGTGAACGCTTTGCTTATGATAACAGCTTAAAAACGAACAAAACCAACAATAGTAAAACAATTTGAATGTTTTTTTTAAATAAAATTTATAAAAATTTTTGATTTTTACAAACTTTTACAAAAATTGACATTAAGTTACCGTCACTCAATTTCAAAATTAATTTGGTGATGGCAAATATCTCGATAGTTTTCTTATCCAAAATGTATCGATTATTTTATTAAAACAATCAAAAATTTATTTCAACTTTTTGGTCAGATAAACTAAATTTATGGAAAAAATGTAAAAATTGCACAAAACCTTTTTTTTATATCAAAAAATAATGGTTTGATATGTTACAAAAAACATGTTTAATTGGTTGAATAGCCAAATATGTTTGTTTAATGCATGCAACCCTGTGTTTACAAAAAGTATACGCAAAGTAGTTGGCAACGCAACAACATATGATTCGCCAACGTAGTTCAGCAAACAAATTTTTCTGATTGTCATTAACGTGTCGTTCGCAAATCAAATAGTTTTTATATAAATTAAGCTTTTCATACGAAATTAGTGCGATTAAAATGCAAACTAATGGTGCAGATGATCTACTACAGTTTCGGGATTACAATAGCACACCGAGCATGAGTAGTCCACCGGCTCAAATAAATGTGAACTCGCCGACCCATTCTAGCGGGTCTGCAGGTGCAACGCGCGGCAGTAATGCACTCAACGATTTGATTTATGACATGAGCCATTCAGCAGGCATCTTAAGTGGTAGCAACAACGCAGGTGGTGCTGGAAATATGAACAATATTGCATCAGGCGGTGGCGGGGCTGGTGGTGACGCTAATACTGGCGCTAGCAACAAGGTGTCATTTCTTACACTTGAATACTATCAGCAATTCTTTAATGTGGATACTTATGTGGTGATA